GTTTTTCCAAACATTGGCAGCTTTGGAGTCACAAGATGCCATGTTTCAGTGAGAATTTAACTCATTAGGTCTGGATGTGCCAGAGGACTGGGTGGTGCGGGACAGATCCAGCCACTTTTCATGGTATTCCCAACATAGCACCTTGCCTGGCAGTGCCATGCGGGTACTGCTGGTACTGCCCTGCACAAGGGTGTTCCGTGCAATGGGCACAACTCAGATTTAGAGGGAGAGGGCTAAGCAGCACCCTCATCTGAGCTGGGAACTGAAGCAGGTGCAGTGCAGGACTTGGAGAGATGGCTATCTCTGCAGCTAGCTCTGCTGCTGCTGATGCCTCCTCTCCATACCCCAAGGGGACAGTGCCAGCAGAGAGACCTCACTCTGGGCACCTTTTGCTTCAGTCTCAGGCACAGGATCTGCTCCCCAAGCTTCTCCCTGCAAGCTGTCTTCATATAAGCGACCTTTGATTATTTTCTGAGAGTGAAAATATGTTTTACATGTTTTTGTGGCATTCATAGTGAGGCCAAAGACATCCTCCCAGTCTGAAGTCAGTCCTGGCTCCATAGAAGACAACTACTTCCCAAATAATGAGGGATCCAATGCATAATAAAAACCCCAGCTCCTGTCACCCAGCTGTAGGGGAGAGTAGACACGGAAGAGCCCTGAATCCTTCAAGCTGGTATCGCTTCTCATTCTGAGAGCTAGGAAGCAGAGGCTGAGCTGCTCCCCTTCCTCTCTGAAGACTTGTTTTTGGATTTGAGTAGCCAAGAGACTTCCTTATCAGAGTTTTAGGCAGCAGCAGTAGGAAACTTTGCTTCCGCCAGCAGTGGTGGAGTGACGCTGTAAATGACGGCACAGCTCTCACTCCCTGCTGCTCATGGCTGGCACAGGCACAGCCCCAAAGCCAGTGCAGGTAGCGACCTGCATGGCACCTCACTGCCCTCTCCAAAGCCACCACTCCAAGGAGATGTGGTCTGGCAGAGAATGGGAGAGCCCCTAACTACTCCCCCACTGAAGGAAGCCCCATGAGAGAAGTTACTGGAATAGTCTTCCTGCTCTGACTGTTCAAAGGTTTGCTACAACATTGCTGGAATATGTCGCCTCCTGTGAACCTTTTGGGAAGGCTGAACCAGAGGAGTCACAGTGGTGATAAGAGCATGCTTAATCTTCAGAGGAAACTGCTCACATTGCTTCTGCTGCTTGCCAGGGAACAGGCATTACCTCTGCCCTCTCTGAGATCATTCTCTATCTGTCCTGCCTGGGACTGAAGCCGTGAGCCAGATGGAGACCCAGCCCCTCTTTGCTGAGTGCAGAGGGGTGAAAGTGTGATCTGCTCCCAGGAGATACTGATCTGAATTAAATTGTTTGTTGCAAAGATTTAATTCAGTTCTTATCTTGCAAAAAAAGTAACAAGAGAGGTTTGTTAACCAGCACATGGGAAATTTTGACTTTGGCGTGCAGTGTGTTTTTATCTGTCAGTCACGCTGAAGGATTGCTTTCCATGCCATGCAGAGAAGTGGCACAAACTTCTTTGTTCAGATGGTCCTTCCCGCAGGAATGTGGCTTTCCCAGCCCAAAAATGGGAGGCTGCCTGAAAGTTTTGCAGTGGAAATTGGTCACTGGGATCAGTGCAGGGCTATCACCTGGATACGGAACTGAATTAAGCCTTTCACTGGTGCAGATGGCCAGATCATGTTTCACAGGTTCCATACCCATGTGTGCACACAAACACAGGTGGCAAAAAAGAAAGTCAGAAACTGTTACTGTCCAAAGCTGCTGCTGTATCTCTGGTGGTCAGAGCTTGTCCAGATGGAAAGCACAAGCAGCAGTACAAGGTAAACTCACCAAGTAAGTTCTTTGCTACAAGGGTTTAGTCTAGCTCCTGTCTTGCAGTGGGGAAATACTGGGTACAGAATTCAGTATGGTCAAAATGTGGTGTGGAGTCTCCCACTGCCTTTTATAACTACTGCAAGATACTCTTGGGGTATTCCTTCAGAACCAGGACATGGTGTAAGACTGAAATGTATCCCTATGACCTGTTCTAATTCCTGCAGGTCTTGAGACTGATGCAAAAATTGTGCCCCGTTTCAAATGAAACACACTTGGTTGATCCTGTGTCCCTGCCAGATCCCTGTGCAGGAGCTGTATTGGCCAAATTCATCACATGCAATTTTAGACACCTCTCCCAGTCACTGTAGGTAGAGCTTTTGGTGGGTGTGCTCCTGGCTTGGGGCACTTACCTCAACACACAGCTGGAGAGGGGATGAAGCAAGATCCTTGTGTTCCCCTGGGCCCTCCTGCACCTTAGTGTCTCAGATAAGATAAGTTGGCAACAGGAGGAGCTTGTCTTCAGGGCACACTCCTGTGTGAACACTCCCCCAGCTGCTGGGGTGGAGAAGTGACCCAAAGGGTTGTGTCAAACCAGAGGCAGATCAAGATGGGCTCCTGTGCCTGCAGAGTCTGCGTGGCAGAGCTGCCGTTCAGGTGGCACAGCAGCTGCTGCAGAGTGCTTCTTTCTTTAGAAGACTCTGGAAATGTTAAATTTATTTGGATTTCTCCACTTTGCGGCTGTTCAGGGAGCAGTGGTGGGACTGCCATAGCTCCTTTCTTTCCCTTGCTCCCAAGGGGGCAGAGTAGTAGGAAGAGTGATCTGGAGAGAAAATGGTATAGTCCATTGTGCCTTGACATCCCCGTGACCTGTTGGTGTCCATATGCTCCCTCTGACTGCAGTGCTGTGCTCAGGAATTGTCCTGTAAAGAGCCAGGACATCACTGCAAGGTCTCAAAGCTGCTCTGCTTTTGGCACTGCCGTTACTGGATAATGTGGTTTTTGGGGTAGTGACAGCCTTTGGCCAAGAATCAGGGAGTCAAAAGTCCATTATGTGCCTGGCACAGTTGCTTTGCTATAATTAGTAAACTCTTTTTCTGAGGCAGATTTTGGAAGTGTCTGAAAAAGATTGGTTGGCAATCAGGCACCGTAAGGAGCATGGATTTACGCAGCAAGTTATTCAATCTCTGTAAAACCTCTCGGATGTACATGAAGCTACTCCAGACTCTACAAGCTGCAGATCTGTCCCATGCCTAGAGGAACATTCACATAGCCGTCATTAAATAGATGAGGTGTAGATACAGTCTGATTTAACATAGATACCAATGGGAACTTACCTAGAAATGAAAACTCTTAGATCTTTACCTAGAAGACTTCATCCTAAAATATGGATCTGAAGTAAGAGTGTCTGTGTCTGAGAATATTGTCCTCCTGTCTTTGACTGCTGGCTTTTGGTGCCAGAAGAAATCTGGAAAGATTAAGTCCTAATGCTGGCAGTGGATGCCTGCTAGCATTAGCAGAGGATGTGTGCATGTCTGAGGGCAGTTTTGCAAATGCATTTTCTTAAAATTTTCTTTTTTTAATGTTAAACCCACCCAAAAGCCACCACGTGTGTAGAGAGAGGATGGAGTAATATTTTGCCTGAAAGTATCTTGCTTAACATTTCTCAGATGAGCAGTCTCCTATAGCAAATTAAAGTGAAACGTGTTTCTAGATGGCGACGAACTGTTGCAAGCTTTCACTTACATTCTGTTGTGTGTTGATCTTCATAATGCTTTAAATCTCTTTACTTGTGTCCTTTCTTCTGAGTTCTGTGTTTGTAGCCTTAACCCTTCATTAGCCAAACCTCTTCCATTACCTACCATTCACTGCCACCTATTTGAAAAAAAGTAGGAGTGATAACCCTGTTTTTCAGCCATTGCTTTGCTACATGCTACAGACTAACAACTAGTCAGAAATGACCTGATTCTGCATGACTTCCACGTGCGTAACTCTCATTGACGTCAATGGGAGCGTTACGTGCAAAAGGACTGCGGGGCATAATTAAAAAGGACCCTTTTCTATCACAAAGTGGAGAAAAAAATGTGGTTTCAACTTGGGTACAATGAAAAGCTGTAAATCATTAGAAACATTCCGGTCTCCTAAGAACCTGACATACTACTTTGCTGTTGAGACATGCTTGGGTGAATGATGAGTAACTCGCTGAGAAAAGTTCCTGAGTTGGGTTAATGCTTTTTACCAAGTCTGATCATGAAACAGGTTTGACAGGCTGGAAGAAGCCTGGTGGTGTGATAGAACAAAAAGAGGGGATTTGTCAATGGCTTTTTCCACTGTTAATAATGAGTGAGCAGTGTTTGACTGATGGAAGCACCTTCTACCAAGTGGGAGCAGGTCCAAATCTGCTGCTGGTGGGCTGTGCCCCTGGTGTGAGCGGTAGAGAATCAGGCCTGTTCTTGACCATGTTGCTCAGCCTCTCTACTATCAAGTGTGAATTTACACTTATTTTACTGTGAATGTAATGTTATGTGTGTAACTGGCAACAGCTACCACTTTACCACCTGGACATGTGTGTCTGCTGCACACACTTCCACACATGCACACATACATGTAGGCAGGTGTTGAGCCAGAGGCAAGCATCCCTTTTTTTCCATGGCATTTGTTGCTTATGCTGATCTTCTTGTTCTTAAATAGCCATCTACTATATTTCTCTTACCTGTTTGTTTTGGGTTTTTTAATGCTTGTTGCCTGCAACTGCTCTTTGTAGCATCCTGTCCAGGTGATCACCTCTCCCCTTCCTTTTCCTTGTGGTTTTTTTTTAAAACTTTGTGCCCAAGTCAGT